AATTTACTTTCCCCAGAGAAAGTATATTTTTTATAGTACTTTTTTTATAGTACTGCAAATTAGGATGTGGATGTGTCTAAGCAAAGTATCTAGAGGTTCCACTACAAAGTATCTACAAAGTTCTACAAAGTATCTAGAGCCTCACTCTGTCAACTATGATTGACATTAAAGGTAGTGAAAGGCATCATTGTCTTAATATTAATGCACTTGTAGTGGACACCTGTGATGTATGAATGAGTAAGGAGCTGGAGAGTGAATGAACAGTGTGCTAATAGCAGGCACTTGTGAATGCATGGATAAACACGCTCAAAGTGGGCTCCTGTGAATGCATGAATGAAGCACATGCTCAGAGCACGCTCCTGTGAATGCATGAATGAAGCACATGCTCAGAGCACGCTCCTGTGAATGCATGAATGCATGAACGCAGGACGCGCTCAGAGCAGGCAGTGTGCGGCAGACTCACCGGCTTGACATCCTCTGGGCCTGGCGGCGTCGGATGAAGCAGCAGAAGGCGCACGCGACGAGGCACAGGGCGGCCACCACCACCACGATGGCGATGAAGATCTCCGACTTAAAGAAGGTGAAGACGGAGCCGTAGAACCCGTGAGGGTCAGTCTCGCTCTCGGACTCCTCCTCCATGGTGCTGGACCCTCAACGCTACGAGGAGAATGATTTCGCAAGCCTCATAAAACAACACACTGCTCAATGAAATATTACACTAAATGGGCATATGAGGACCAATGCGATGGCTACAAGTCTAGGTTATATCTGTAAACCAACCATGAATCATCTTGTTTACTCATTGATATATTACAGTATCTGGACCTGTAGCTATGTTTATTCTCTGATAATGAAAGGCAGCAGATGTTATCCTATCTAATAGTGATACAAATAATTATACAAACACAATCTTCTTATGAATAAATCGCCTTCATGTAATATACCTCAGGTTAATTTTGAAATTAACAGGTGATAGAATGGTACATTATTTTAAAATACACATTGAAAGGATGCTTTGGGGATGGTCAAAAACAAGAGAATGTGACTATTTACTAATGTGTTACTATTTACCTGTGACCTCAGCTTTTACGCGTTTTAGCTTTTCTTCGGTATGCCCGCTGCATGACCGACCACTCTCCTTAACCCGCACATGTAAGAGTTTCCTGAGTCCTAGGCAAATAGACTCACACAAATAAAATCACATATTATATATCATATTATAAATATAATGGAAAGCCGCCATATTTCTCATACCGTTTCTGCAAGACAAATAATTAATTGTTTGAAAGTTAACTAGTCCTAAGTCGCCACACCATGTTTTATGTGCAGGAGTTGGATTTGTTCAGAATACATGATGATTTGTTCGCTACAGTTATTGCATTTGCTTTTTATAGAAGTAATTTCTTGCTAGCTGCGACACCTGGCGGCCAAACATTTGCGAGCAAATCAAAGCAGATTCCCATCGCTTTACATAAGTTAAAAGTGTGATACAAACATTAGTGACTGACCATACTGTATTTGCCTGTGCAGTAATGAAGTCCTGCATAATTGTGCTGCATTTCCAATTCGTTGGACAAACACCCCCTCATCATTTCTTTAAAAAGGAGCGCATCGTGCAGCAGCAAAAGGGAGGATTCGCCGTTTCTGAATACTACGTGCTCTGCCCCGCGTGCAGCGTGTCCCTGACTTCTTGTAGTCTGGCAGACATAACTGCTGAACACCAGTTTATTATTACTGGTTTATTCCTTACTCAGTATCTGTCCAACTGATGAATAAAGTACAAACTGAAATATAAAATAAAACTGCTCAATAAGAGATTAAACAGGGGGACAATATAAAGCACACTGCTGGCCTGTCTAACTAGCAATAGCCAGCTGCAAAATTAAATTAACCTTTTTATAGTATTTGAAAAACATTTACATTTAACATTATAAACATATTAGGCCTAAGTATTCCTAAATGGTATACTTAAACATCAGCCTAATACAGCATACTCTGTAAGAACAACAAACACGTATATAATGTTAAAATAACGAGCAAACTTACGGACGATGCTTATGTTAGCCGGACACGCAACGCAATAGGCCTATATGGAAGCTGACAATAAGTTAAAACACTAACGTTTGTATTCAATTCTTTGAAAACGGCGGTTACTACAGAAACGCTTAAATATGCAGCATTCGATTAGCCAGTGTAACGTTCTTTCACGTCACTTATGCACAAAGAGAACGCAGAACTATGGTTTCCAAATTTTCTTTGTCTTCTTGCATCATTGTTCCAGCAGTTCGCACAATTTTGCGTGGACAAATTGTTGTTACAATGAAAAACAAACTCATAATCTTAATTTAGTACATCTTTCCTTAAAATGAATCACCCACATAGCCCCACAGCAAGCTTGTCGCATTGAGCCATCGGTTACTGTAATGTACAATATATCCACTAAATACTATGCAACTCAACTCACAGTCACATGCAATTGAATACCAAATCCTCAGGGCGGCGATGTGCAACAGAGTTCAAGTTAGCATGCACCCCCGAAGTTTTGCCCAGCTCTGACATGTCTCTGAAGTTTTAGAAACAACAAATTGTCAGTTGTTCATTTAATACTTAAGAGTTGTTATGGGAGGGGTGGGAAACAGAAAACAGTCAGCATTTATGATCCTTATTTTTCCGATTTAGCCAATTATGCACTTAGAATGCATTATTGAATGGCGTGTTAAAATGATTTTAAATTCATTACGATAGTAAAAATCGTTATTAGTTTAAAGTATTACCTGGATTTGAGCCCACGATAGTTTACTTGTGAAGCGCCCCCGCGATGGGCAATTGACTTTGTGAACTTGACCGCGCACCCCAGCGCGATCCACTGGCCGTCGTGGGCCGAGCCGAAACGGAGCTTCCCGAACATGACGTCAAACAGCTCCCTGGTCCCGTGCGCTGGCTGCGAAGAGGCAACAAGACGGAAGCGCAATGGCGACACTAGATCGCAAAGTACCCAGTCCGAATGCGTTCCTGTACAAACCCTGGTCTGCTTACAGCGACGCGGCTAAATTACACAGCTCTGACAGTAAGGACACAGCGCGACATTTGTTGTGCTTTGTTTCGAGTTTTCACTTACCGATGGAGTTGTTAAACTGAGAATGAACGGCTAGCGCTGGCTAACGAGCTAGCTGGCTGGCTAGTTAGCTCGCCAGTGTCCTCACGGCACATTTTTGTGCTGAAATTGATTACTTGTTTGCTAAATGACATGCTCACTGTGCGCATCAGCAGAGATCCAACAGCTAGCTAGTTTGCTAATTGAGTTATTAGGGTACACTGTCACCATAACCGAGAAAGTGTCACGGTGATGTCACTGTAAAGCTAGCTAGCGAGGTTGCTACTGTGAATAATTGTCCTGCTGCTGTCAGTGGGCAAGCTAACTATGCTAGCTAGTTAGGCTGCCTGTCAGACTGGCAAGACAAAAGTTTGTTTCGGCTAGCTAGTTTGCTATCCTATTCTTATGTAGCTAGTTGGTGCATTTGTCTCATATTGTGAGGGCCACGTTGAAATATCTTGTTACCTGGTGTTGTGGTTAGATTGCTAAGATCTAGCTAACTAGTGATGTCATGGCTCTGCATTCGTTTGGTGTTTTGGACTTGGGGGGGAAAAACACACCTGTCGTGTCTCTGCACTGTCCCGCAGCTGCTCACGTGGAGGATGCCGGGAAGGAGCTGGCGACCTGCAGGGAGGCGAGGAAGCTCAACAGAGAGGGTAGGTTCCGCGCGGACAGGTGGACCGCGCCGATCGTCACACCTGCGCGGGGGGGACCTCCGACTCCTGTCACAGCTGCGCGATGGCAGCCAGCCTGGAGAGCTAAACATAGTGATCTGCGGCTGAGACAGATCCTCGCTTCGCGTTGACACAAAAAAAATGTATGCCGAGCAAGTCGGGCTGGGTGGCGGGGTCGTCCTAGCCCGGTTAATCCCTGACAAGTGGAGCTGCGGTGACTTTCTGTGCCTGACAGCAGGTATAGAAGGAGACAGTGTATAACCGCTGGCTGGGTATTTTGTGTAATTTGACTGTGTTGTCACATCAGCATGGGACTCATCTTGTGCTGGTGTGCATGCAAAGTCACAGGCCAAATTTTGTTAGGATTCCTGCCTTGCAAGGGCCAGTGAATTGGTCAGTTCTGGGCCTTTTCAATCCAGTGTTAATGCTTCCTCTGGGGATGATGTTAAAGCATTTATTGGCATTGTTTTCACACTCAAGTTAGATCTGCATGTGTAAAGTTGAAATTGTTGTTTATAGTTGAAGTGTTGCCAGCCCTCCTGTGTTCACTGTTACACTCCCCCTTTGAGAGTGTGAGGAACAGTGATTACCTGAGAACTGGAAATCCTGTTTAACAGCAAGAACTTGTACAGGTGCCCTTAAAGTGACTTTGTGGCAAAGTAAAGCGTGATGTCACTAGAAGTGTCCCTATTTTTTGAATTGCCAACTGCACATTAAGCTTGTTGTGCCAAAACAATTTCTGAATTTGCACAGGAGCACTGAATTGTGATGAATGAAATCCGCTGTTGTTGACCCACACAGCCCGTAGATATTTTTGACACTACAAATCCCACAGTGCACGGCAGCGTGGTGCGTGCTCATTGGAGGAATAGACGCTTCTCCACTGATGTCGTATAAACAAATCACAGGTGCCAGACTGATTGCAGGGGGCCTGAGAGCAGTCTGGTGAGGGGAACTAGCTGACCCATTCACCAGTATCCAAGCTCGTCACTGTTGGCGGATGACACAGTCTGTTTCAAATCCGGGCTGTAGGGGTCGGTCTGCCCTCAAGCAACTCGAGAGTCCAGCAGTGCATTTTCTATAAGCGGTATTTGACACAGGTACTTTATGCTATCAGTTAATGGTGGGGCACAGCTAGTTAGAGATTAGTAATGACAGATACAATGATAAACACATCTTGATTCTTACACAGCTAGTGGTTTGGATTTTGCAGCAGCGTTATGGTGTAATGGGCAGCTGTGTGGCATAGTGGTAAGGAGCAGGGCTCGTAACCAAAAGGTTTCTGGTTCGATTCCCGACAGGGGCACTGCTGTTGTACCCTTGGGCAGGGAACTTAATTCACAGTTGTCTCTAATTATCAAGCTTTATAGTTGGATAAAAATTGTAACCTATACATAAGTCAGTCTGGATGAGGGTGTCTGTTAAATGAAAATAATGTAATGTAAGTAGCAGGATTTTACCCAGACGTTGCCGGTTCAGTTCCCAGGAGGGCTACTTCTGTGGTTCCCCTGGGCAAGCTACTTAACCTAGACTGCCTCAGTAAATATGCAACTTTATGAACAGATAGCATGCAAATGTAAGTGATATAAGTTACTCTGGATAACCATGTTTTTTGAGTTAACAGAAGAGTTTTTTTTGAGTTAATGAGGAATGTGGTGCCTGTAATCCCTCACTGGCAGTTAGTGTCGTGCTCACGGCGCGTGGAGGAGCTGTCCGATTGGCTGCTGCATTTCGCTGTGTTTGCTCCGCGGGCGTGTTTCATGTGATTAGTGCCACCCGTGTGAGGTGACATCACGGGACATAAAAACGAGGCCCCCGTCTGTGTGACACTCTCAGCGCGGCTATTCGCTGAGACCCGCAAAGACAGGAAGTCCTCATTAGTCACTGGCTGTAATGACTCATTTTCATATTTGTAAAAGATCGTTCGCTTAATGAAAGGGGTGACTCCAGAGTGAGTGAGTGAGACGTGAAAGGCTTTTTGCTTCTCTTTTTTTGGTAACTGATGCTTGTGATTGATTTAATGTTCTGTATCACACACTGGCACTAAAGGCTCGTCCACATTTAAAGCGATTTGCGCATCGCCCGTTGCTAGTGGCTGTGACAGTTGGTCGCTAGTGGGTGTTCCAGGCTCTGGTTGCCTAGGTATCCCTCTTGTATATTTCCCACCCCAAATGTTTCCGAGTGAAACAAGCAGTAGCTGGCTAGTTCTACAAGACCATAAATATATTGCTTGTGTATGCATATGGACAGAGCTACGGTTCAACAGCGACAATTCACCCTTGTTAATTTCTTTTAGTTCACAGATAGTACAGTTTATAGATCAAAGCTGTAGTGGTAGGAACCAAAGTCGTGGACGTTGTCTCCTTGTGGTAGCTAAACATTTGGAGAACTCAGTGTTGGCGTCATCTGTCAGTCAATGGTATCCTTTGCTCTTATTGGTAGTTGCCTCAATTGTGTCGCCTCAAAATTGAGATGAGTTTAACTCGGAATCCTCCCACTTCGCGTCGCCAGCTGTCATTTCGCCTGACATCGCCTGACATTGCTTCAAGTCGCCGAATTTCATTAACATTCTATGGTCTCTTGTCGCGTGTCTCTTCCAGTGTGTACGGGGCTTAACACCCGTTGCTGATCTATTGACATTATGAGTTGAGATGTGGATAAGAGCATTGGCTAAGCAGATGGGCTTTAGCATTGCGATAATGGGCAACAAAGGGATGGTGTGTCCCATTATTGTGTGTAATTAGCATTGTCAGTCAGAGTCACTGAAGTCTAATCAAGGACTAATAATTAATTCTACATTACATCACAGGCATTTAACAGATGCTCTCATCCACAGCAACTTACATAGGTTATAGTTTTACATTATTTTCATTCATACAGCTGGATATTTAATGAGACATTTCTGGGTTAAATACTTTGCCCAAGGGTACAGCAGCGGTGCCCATGTGGGGAATCAAACAAGCAAACTTGTGGTTACAAGCCCTGCTCCTTACCACTATGCTACACTGCCGCCCGAGTGGCGCCCAATACTAATGGCTGACCTTTTAGATATTTGGCTGTTTGGGGTGTATGTTGTGTGCACTGAGTGTGCCAGCTGAGTGGTTTCCTTGCCTTTCTTTCGCAGAGGCAGCGAATGTGTTGCACAATGCCGTTTTGGGAAAGGTGATTCATAAAGTAAGGCCGACTGCGGACAGTGCCGTTTTCTTTTTAAGAGCGGCGGAAACGGCCCATTCTCACAGCCGTGACCACATTTACAACAGAAAGCTCCAAATGTCAGAAAAGCTCAGCATTTTTTTGAGCACGGTTTATAAAAATAACACTCCATCCTCGCTGGTGTGTGAAGTGAATGAATTTATGATCGTTTTGGTTGTTAAACGTTGGCAGGGCCGTCCGTTTGGCTTGTAGACGCAGCAGTGAATTACACACACCGAGATTCTTTTCTTTGGCAGGTACACAGGAAATGACATCCAGACCTTAACAGGCTCTGTACTGCTTTCTTTTAGCGTACCTTGCGGCGATTTTGCATTTCCAGTTAAGTGTAAACGCAGTGAAGTGAAGTGTTACTGTTAGAACTGTGACTCTGACGGGACGGTCACACGCAGTGAACAGCAGCGTGAATGATGTTCACAACTCTGAGAGCTGAATCAGGAACGCAAACACGCCAGCCCTCAGGTGACAGCGTGTTCTGCGGCTGCGTTGTATTCCCGTCTTGACTGCGTATATTGGAATCTTGTGTGGAATTTTCTCAGCCTCCCGATCCTCGCCAGTTCCTTTATGACACATTTACCAATATTTGTTATTGCTGGACTCCATATCGTCAATGGTTTTTTTTCCCTATTACAATACAGTTATTAATACTTACAAGCATATTATAAAGTATTTAATATATCTGTATGCGTGTGTATGTTGAATCTTGTGGTGGATACTTATTAATGTCTAACATCTGTGAGTGTTTTAAAGATTTTTGTTACACAATTCATTGATTCGCTTGTTTCCTGAAAGTGTACTTGGGACGTTGAGTCAGAGAAGGGTGCTCTTTACAAAACCATGAATGTTAATATTCTTATTCTAATTGTTGTTATGTGACTGGAATGAGTGTCAGTAGAGTACTGCAGCACTAAACGCAGCGAACGTAATGAAGTAACGGCGCTGCTCTACTCTCCTTCAGATATGCACTTGTATGGCCAGTATCCTGCGTACGATGAGTTCTACCTTGTTGTGTGCAATATCTGCAATCAAGCTGTCAAACCTCAGGGACTCCTGACCCATTATGGTGAGTTCTTTTCTTTCTGGGTTTCTCTCCTGTCTGTCTGTCTTGGGCTTTTGTGCCGTCTGGTATACTCCCACTATGTTCCATTGACGTTCCTTCCCTCGCATTGTCGAGCTGAAAGCTCCATCATCCTAAAGTGCAATGAGACAGAGGCCGGACAAGACAGGAGCTGCTCAGCTGCACCAGGAAAGAATGCAGAGCGCATAGCCTCGCCAGTGATGAAGGGTCTCTCACATTAACACTGTCAGCCCAGAGGAGGAGTGAGGGATGATGGGTAATTGGTTGCTCTCAGTGGTTTTCACTGTGGAGCTGCGGAGTTTACCGTCTGTGGCTGAATGAGTCTCGAGCGCAGGGTGCAGCGGCTCGGCCAATGGGAGACGCGGGAGGGCTGTGATGTCATTCCCGTTGAGGCAGCAGGGAAGGAGGTTGCTCATGTAAATTGCTGTCGTCAGGAAGGCTATTTACATTAATCTGGGAATCCTGCCTTGGATGCCGTACAGATTAGTAAATCATGTTAAAGACGTGGGAATATGGCAGTGGTCTTACAGTGATGCACAGTAAGGATAGCATGATCTGATCCGACCAAGGAAAGAAGCCAGTCACCCTCTGTCAGTTATAGTAATTATTATGACTTTATGCTTATGTCTGACTGTTTGTGTTTCTTTTACATCCCCTTGTTTCTATTGGTGTATTGCAAGATAAAGGTATTTACAAGTGTTACGTAATGTATGTATACTTGTATGTGCGTGTGTGTGTGCGTGTGTGTGTGTATGTGTGTGCGTGCGTGCGTGTGTGTGTGTTTTAGAGAGGAGACACGGCTCCCCCTGTAACTCCCGGACTCCCCCGGTTCCGATGAGGCCCAAAGTGTCCCACAGCCCCCCCCTGTCCCGGCCTTTCCGAGTGCCCAGAGACAATCAGCACACCCCGTTCGGCAGGGCGCCGCATGCTGTGTACCCCCCCAAAGGGGCCCGCAGCAAGCCGTGGTGGGTACACGCTGTCTCTCTCTCCCTCCCTCTCTCTGTGCTGGAGCAGACTGTGCTGTGTAACGCGTTTGAAGAGGAGAATCTTACCGACTGTCCTTCCCTCAACCCCCCCCTTTCTTTCTCCTTCTCTCTGCATCTCTTCTTCTTCTCCTTTGTCTCTTTTTCCCTCTTTGTCTCTCTACTTCATTCCCGACCTCTCTCTCTCCTTCCATCTGTTTCTTTCCCTCTTTTGCTTTCTCTCTCCTTTTCTCTCTCCTTCCTTCTCTACCTCTCTCTCCTTCCATCTCTGTTTCTTTCCCTCTTTTGCTCTCTCTCTCCCTCCCTCTCCATCTCTTCCTCTTTTGGTCTCTGTCACTGTCCCTCTCTATTTCCTTCCTTTTCTGCCTCTCTCTACCTTCCTTCTCTATCTCTCTCCCTCTTTCACTCTCTCTCTCTTTTCCTCTTTCACTCTCTCTGTCTCTCTCTCTTTCCTTCTCTGCCTGCCCTCAGTGTCCCGGTCCCTGTGGTCAGCCTGGAGAAGATGCCCAGTTTGAACAGGACAGAGGGGTCCCACGTCAGGGTCAGCGGCCCCTCCTCTTCCTCCCCCGCCGGCCTGGCCAGGCCTTCCCATAAGCCTCAGGAGTGGGCCCTGAACGGCAGGGGACACGCTGTCCCCCCCCCCCTCGACCGCCGACCCAGTGCCTCTCCCTCCCCCTCTCCATCCCCCGCCTCACTGGACAGGCGACACGCCTCCTCCCCCTCCCCCTCCTCCTCATTGGACAGGCAGCCCACAGCCCCGCCCTCTCCACTGGACAGAAAGCACCAAAACGGCACCAAGGGCAGCAAGCCGCATAAGAGGCTGTCAGGTGAGTACGAGCCACACCTCTTCCTGAGTGACAGTGGGATGGGGGGGGCAGCTGATGACATGATTGCAATTTCCCATTTCCTTCTTTAATATAAGACAGTGCATTTTAAATGATTCTGGGAAGGGAATGCATTGAAATGTGAAAGCTGACTGTTGAAACCTTGTTGAAACCTTACTGAAACCTTGTTGAAACCCTGCTGAAACCGTGT